GCAGCTGAAGGGGCGTTTATGCCCTTCATTTACTGCGGGCTCCGCAGCTTTTCGCCTGGCAGCTCTCCGGGGCTGCTTCCAGCCGCGCACGTCTTCTCCCTGTCAGCGGGAAAGTCCCTCCACTCGGTCTCCTGTATTCCCCCCGCCAGGGGATCATAAACCCGGTTTTGGGGGTGTACCGGGAACGGGGACCGGGGCGCGGGCCCGGCTTTGTCCCGTTTTTGCCCGTCAGGGTTTTTCCCTTCTCCGCATGAAATAATGTTAATTTCCCTGCACGGTGTGTGCCCGGAGCTGGTCTCGTTCTGGTAATGTCTGGGCTCGTTACCACAAAAGAACAAAATCGACTGGCTTAGCTAGGCTTTTAAAATTCATTTTTAGTACAAACCTGAGCTTTAATGCCATTCTGAATTTGAGGTACCATAGTGATGTGTACAGGGTGGACAGTGTTGTAAAATGCTCTTGTGAATGCTCTTGTTTCTGGCTGTATGCTAAAGCAAAAGCATCAATCTTGCAAATTATCTGCAGTGCTGTGAAATACACTTTTTTGAATATTATTCCATCAGTGGGTTAAAGCAGTGTTACTTCAGCCTTTATTAAAATAACACTTTCAAGAGAAATAGCTACTTTGATTTCTCTATGAACAACCTTTTTTTGGTATGAAATTTTTAACAGCATTACTGAAATATAAAGCTGTTTTCTGAAAGCTGGATTTTGGGTAGCGTTTTATTTTGCATAACACTTCAAAGTAAGGTGTGCCAAATATTTTTAGCACTATTATTGCCTTGGTGTGTTTGATTCTTGATTGCTTGGTTTGTTGCTGACAGCTATGACTATTAATTTTGTACTTAATGCAGCAGAAACATTTTGTAGGTAGCTAGCTGTGTAAGAGTTATTTTTTGGCACACATATCAGCAGATTAAAAAGAAGCTGATTGTGTTGAACTTCATCTTAAGTTTTACTGAATCTTTAGGTTGTGAAATAATCAACTATAAGAACATTTTGATTCCAATAAGTTAGCCTCTATGGTAGCATTATGTATAGGTTGCTGTGTTGCTTATTATTTGAGGCTGTGTTGCTTGAAGTCCCTATTCCCTATTCTCTGGACCCCCTAGACCATAACCAGAGCCCCCAGGTTCTATTGTATATAGGATGAGTTATTTGACAGCCTGGCAAGGTAGATACCTAGCTGGCCAACTTGGCAACAAAACCTACTTTTAAGGTGTCCTGAAGTGAACTGCCTTCATTATAATACTAAAAAACCACGCCCACAGGTCAAGAAAACCCTTGCCCAGGGGAAGACCCTTCCCCCGTACAAGCGTAGGAACAGAAGAGAGTAACTGGGAGTGTACTACCTTATAATTTTTGTGTATAAATGTAACGGTGATCTAGCCATAGGCGTGCTTGATTTGTGGAATTCCACCTTGCACCCGGCTGTAATAAAGAATGCCTGCTTTCTAAAACTCCAAATTGAGTCTTAGAGAGTTCATCATCTGCCGATTTATGGTAACAATTGTAGTCTCGCATAGGCTTTGTACTGGCATGACTCCAGGTGTTTACTGACTGTAGTGACTGCTGATTTTTCACTCCAATATCAGTGGATTTTTTCTCCCTGTACTTTAAGGGTAGTTGAGTAAAAGGTAATTTGTAACTTTGTTATTCAAATATTTCATGAAGATTTTTGCATGTTCTTCCAGTTTTAAATCGAGTCTGAAGTACGTGGGACTGTGTGGCTTTGGGGCTTTTAAATATTAGCTCTCAAGCCTGCGTTCTGTGCGCCACTTTATATAGGGTTCTGCTCCATAGGTCATATTTCTGACTACGGTGTGAAATTCCTGAGCAGCCCAATTTCTACTCATGTATTAGTTATCTCTTATTTGTATGGTTTCTGCATACCTCGTATCTCAGTATTCCTCACTTGATTTATCATCACAACAGCCCTGTGATATAGAGAAACATATTAATCCCATTTTGCCAATAAAGGTTTTAACAGTTTTGGGTTTTTTTGATGAGCAAATTGGCTTTTACTGTGAGTACACCAACTAGGATCACACCCACAACACAATCCTAGAGGCAGGTAGGTGGGTTCAGTGTCCATATGGAAAGGTAATGGCACAGGTAATATACACTCTCCTGGGTAACAAACAACTGCAGCTGACTGAGTCAGGTGCCTGAACGAACCCCTGTAAGGATGCCATACACTAAGGATCTTTACTAGTTGCTGGAAGGGATTTAGATACAACAGGGATCAGAATTGAAACATTATTTCTAGGTGCCTTCAAGCTTAGGATCCATAACCCTTCAGTAAGTAACAAGCTCCTGTAATTTACAACCGAGGAATGACCTGGTATGGAGGGTGAGAAGGTCCAGCTGCAGAAGGCATTAGACTGGCTGGAAGCAGGAATGCCAGGGTGAAGTTTCCCTTGGTGATGAGATAAGAAGCAGCCTGGTCTTGCAGCCATCTGGAATGTGAGCGAGCTCAGGGGCCACCTCTGGACAGCAGAGCTGGGCTGGGGATGGACCCCAGGCCGGGCTGAGATGCCCCATGCTGATGCTCACAGGGTGGGCGCTGGTCCCAGTCCGTATAAGGAAACAGCTACTGCCCCATCTGTGCAGACTCCTTGTAGAACCGCTTATGGCGGTAGGACTCCGCCCCATGCATTGCTCATTATTTTATTTTTTTATATATATATTTAAGCACAAACACGTGTTTAATTCACCTCAAGAAGTGAAATAAAAAATCCCCAACACTGCTAAGTATTCAGGAGAAGAGTGACATGAACAATAGCAAGGTTGTCTGTCAAAGCCTAAACCACTTGAACCTTGAGTTTCAAAGTTGTTTACCTAAGAAATGACAATTGAAGTTTGTTAGGTGCATCTAGCATTTTTAGCCCTTCTTACAGAAGAAGGAAACATGGCATCTCTTTTTCCTTTTTATCTTCTCAAACTCTTTTGTAATAACTCTTCTACTCCTTACTTATTATTCCTCTTTTTACTTTTACTGCAGTGTAAATTATA